TCTTGTTTCCTTCTCTAAGATTTATCCTTCAATAGACCACAGTTCTACATCTTGCTGCCAAGAAAACAATCCTGCATCTAAATATGTTCAGGTAACAGCTTTTTTTTTTTTTTTTTGGGGGGGGGGGGGCGCCTAACATGTCTGATATTGTAGACAAGTACTCAAAGACGTGGTGAGCAAATCCGCAAGCCATCAACTTGGAAGCTAAAAAAATAGTAGTGCTCATTTGACCAATTTTACACAAAGGGATAGATTGAGAACATTAATGTGAGAAAGGACTTGCAGACACAATGCTTGAGGAGGGTGAAAAGGAAGATCACAGTAGGGATAGAAAGCAGTGCAAAGATAGGTTCTTGATTTTTTGAAGTTGTTTTAATAGTTAACGGGGGATTATCATAGTAAGTAATTCAAGTGCTAACATGTTTAAAAGTATGAGCAAGTCAAGTGCTGAGATATTAAAGAAGACCATGTGGCATTATTTTTATTGGGAAACTGGACACAAAGGATCTAAGCACAAGTTTTCTCCTCTGTAAGAGTGTCAGTTGAAAAACGAGACATGAAACAATGAACCTCTGGCCATGGCCTGCCCAAAGAGAGGAGACACACAGGACCTACTTGGTACAGTATGGGAATGGTCGAATGGAAAATCTCTCTTCCATAAACATGGAAAACTCTCTACCAAAGAAAGCCCTTTTGCCATCTACCAAACACAACGAAAATATTTTCTCACTCCTTTTTACTCTCCCAAACTTCTTTTCCATATGCCAAACATAGCCTAAAAAAAGAGATACTTCAAGATTAAGCTACAGACCTGGAGACTGTCCGAGACAATTCCATTCAAGCCATAGTCAATAATTAGAGCCCCACCTCCATCAGAACTTATCCTTTTGCAATTGCTTGAGTCAACTCCATAGCTTTGGGGCAAACTTCATTTGATTAAGTTTTGCAGTCTCCCCATTTGCAGCCCACTTAAACCGCTTTACTAGGTAGAGAGTTGCAGGTGTAGGCTGGGAAGATAGTACAAAGCGAAACCTGTGCAATATATGCAAGTAAATATTAATTAAGCTATGAAAAAGTACAATTTCAAGCGGAAATGCAGAATGCACTCTAATGCTTACGATGAATCTTCTGCCACGTCAACCATTTTCTCACACCAGCCACGAGATGATTTCTTCAGACAGGAAACCACACAGGTTTAGGTAAATTTAGCGTGCCAATAATGATACAGAAAAAAGTGAACACAGAAAAATTATATTTCATTTTTTGTGACAAATAATGCATGATGGAACTCAACTGAAATAGTGTGTTTGCAAAGAATGATCCTGGACTCATTCAAAGCAAGATGACAAGCAACCATTTGGGCTTACAACATATCACTATGGGTTTATTGAATATCACCCACGTTTATGATTCAAACCTTGCTGGTTAACTGTTACTTTTTTCCCACTATTCATATCCAAAAGGGTGAAACCTGTATGACATGGTCATAGTTCAGACAGGCAGACATTGGGAGACAAAGTGCCAGTCTAGTATGACTTTATCACATGGAAAAGAATCACTGTTCTATTCTACGTATAGTTAAAATATTGCTCAAATTTGTGGTTTTTCTCCTGTTATAAAAAAGACAAACTATTACCTTGGCACCCAAAAAATGATAAACTATCAGAAATCATGGAAAGAATAATGAATAAAAGAAAGCTAGAGACAAACAGCCAGGGCACAGAATATATTGTCGGAAAAAGTATAGGCATCATATTGAATTAGCAGCTTGATGGATGTCTCGAAATTCAATTCTCCAAAGCAGCACAAGCATGCTATCATCTATGGTTCAATTGTTCACAACAGCTATACATACATTGCAGTGTCCAGGCAAAGTGATATTGTGAGACAAAATCAAGCACACAAACCTGAAATTGATGAATGGGTAGGGCATCAAAGAATTCATGTGCTATGATGATTGTTGGCACTGGAGAGTAAAAACAGAGAAAACTTACTCAGACAGTTTCTCAAATATGATAATGAGATATTTCCTGTCTACACCATACATAATTCAAACTCAGACCTCGATATATTCTGTTGGCCACTTGGCTTCTTCATAATTGACAATGATTAATACAAGTCATAGTTGCTTATTTTGTCATTTCAAGTAAGATACAAATAGCTTAAATTCTGATTCACCAGGCTAACAAACTTATCCCTAGCACAGACTGACGGATTGATTTGAGCCATCAAGAGAAATAACAGGCACCAGCTGAATGATGTCATAGAAAGTTTGAAACATAATCATCATAATTCCTAAAGTCAAACAGAATATATCTTAACAAAAATATGTAGCAGCCTAATATTCAATTTCTTTGCCCAGCATACTGCATCTCTATATTTAACTAAAGGATAACACACAGGTGTCCATAATGCAACACAAAAATAACACACTCCATGATCTCCCTCAGAACTTTTGATTTACAGAAATTACTTGATTCTGGAAACTATTTTCAGTAGAAAACAGCTGAAAACATGGAAAACACTTTATAGTTAACCTAAATGTTATCAAGAATGAAATTAGAAACTTCACATGAAAATATCTTCAGCTAAAATTCAGTAGAAAAATCTCTATTATGAACTTCCAAGTTCTCCTTCACCTCTTTAAAAGGGAAATAACGACTAGCTGAAAATATTTTCTGTTTTCATTTTATGGCATGTAAATTGATTGATAAATATTAAGAAAAAATTAATATTTTAGTCCTTCAACTTTAATTAACTTAAAACTCAATTCTTTAACTATAACTTGTTGCAACTCAATCGCTCAGCTTTTGACTTGTTTATGAGTCAGTTCTTCACTTTTGTTTGCTCTCTTTTTTCATGTTAACTTAGATCTCATATCAAAGAACAAGAGGAGGGTATTTCATGGCAGGTATGAGCATTCTTTTATCCCTCTTATTTGGTAAGGATACTTTTAAAAAAATTTTGAAAAATAAAGACCGAGTTATAAGTAAGTTAAAAGTGAGAAACTGAGTCGTAGCAAGTTATAGTTGAGGACTGAGTCGCAGCGAGTTATAGTTAAAAGATTTAGTTACAAGTAAGTTAAAAGATTTTTTCAATATTAAAACACCACTGTGAACATGCAGAATGTTTGTCCTGGCCATGCCAATTCTGACATGAAAACTACATTCAGAGAAAGCAAAGTGAAGGAAACAAAGAGAAAACAGATTTCTAACTAATGCATGCACATAATGACAAAATGAAATGTCACAATATGGTGACAACTGCCAATTAAAAAAAATCGAGGTCCTTATTTGTTTCTCAAACTAGTTTTTCCGTTCTATAGCACGGTTTTTGGGAATAAAACTTCACATACATCGAGGCATAGAAGGACAAGAGACAAAAAAATAATGCTACTCTACTAGAACAGTAGTGTCTAAAGCCAATATTCATTGGATACGCAATACATACATCCTGAAGGAACCTGCTCCATTGTAAGCATGCCATGATACAGGGTTACCAGCCAAAGAGCTTACAGTTCTTCTCTCAGTAGGTTCAGCTGCATTATCTTGATCAATGCATTTCAGGTTTTGGTGTTTTGTGTTGAAGCTTCTGCAGTGTTGGACTACACCCACCAGGTGTACATGCAATGACTCAGTGAACTTTTGAATTTGGAAGCACCCTACGTGAAAGTTACAATTTCTTCATCTATCATAATATCGGAGCAGCTTCTTCGTAAAACTCAATTGACAAAGTAAAGAAATGGTCTAGAACCAGAAATTCCAGAATTAAATGAAAAAAAAAAAAAAGGATTGTGGCATCATACCGAAGAAGATCAGCCATAAGAGTTCTCGTCCTGGGCCTAGCTCAATTAGATTTACTCTTTGTGGCTGTCCCATTTGCTCCCATAGACATATGACCCCACACACCAATAATCTAAATTCACATAAACAAGCCATCAGAATCCTTCTTTCATCAAACAAAATTTTGAATAAACGAAGAAGATATAGAAATTCAAACTAGTCCATGACTCAGATGTGAGGAATTAAAAGTGAATAGCTCGTTTACCTCACCAAACATCTGGTTACTTCAGGAGATGTTATAAAATCGCCTTCAGCTCCAAAAACATCCCGATTGATGTAGAAACCAGCTCTAGGATTAGTTAAAACTTCTTCCATATACTCAGCTACTGAGATTGGGCCTCCACGAAACTGAGAAATCATAAAAATAAGTATCTTCTGGACATGAAAATTTTATCCGCTGGCCTCAGAACACCTTTAGGGCAAATATCGTACTTGTAGTTGCTTTGTATAAATGATAATAGATTTATCAGGCCAAGTGCAGTCACATAATAAAGACAGTTCAAACTACTTAAAATGGGCTCCAAGTACAAAAGCAATGGCAGCTCAAAACTGTCTTGGAAAAAGTGCAGAAACAAACCTTGATGATCCCTTTGAGATGCTTGACAGCTCGGATCCACAGTTGGCTCATGAGAATGCTCTGCCACACATAACAATAAAAAACAAAAGGGTAATATACACACATACAACATATATATACCCGAGCCGAATGTGACTATAGAAGAAAACATGGAGGCCGAGAGAGGAAGAAAAACTCAAGTAGCTAACCAGGTGGATTGTACAAGCCAGAGCGATCGATAGAAATTGCAGTGGCAGTGGGCGGAGACGGAGGCTCATCTGCATCGTCCAACTGTTCGACGAAAGGCGCGTTAGGATTTTGGGAAGACGAATGAGTAGAAAAGGGAGACGAAAGCCCAGAAGCCACCGAGGGTGCAGCCAGTTGCGAAGCCAAGTGGGCATGGGAGAGCCGACGATGAAATGCGAAGGATCGAGACAGCAGCAGTTTCCTCAGCATTTCTGTCAAACTGTTACTTTTACTGCACAGACGCGAGCCCGCGAGATGGCCGAATTCCTTTTGACGTTAATTGAACTGGGACTTCAAATGAGCCTATCCTGCATTTTTGGTTATTAATATATTCACTTAAACAATAATCAATAATCGGGGATGTAGCTCAGATGGTAGAGCGCTCGCTTAGCATGCGAGAGGTACGGGGTATCGATACCCCGCATCTCCATGTTGTTTAATTTCCCACTTTTTTTTTTTTTACCAATTAGTAATAAAATAATAAAAGTATATTATATTAAACTGAAAGTAGTGTACAATGAAATCATAATATAATAGCCAGGCTCACTTAGCATCAAAAGCCAGTGTAGTAATTAAAACAAAAGCATTAGGACAAAAGGCTTGAAGTTGAAGGTTACATCCTTACATGAGTTTTTTTTATTTTTTTTGACCAAAATCCCTTATATGAGTTTTAGATTCCATTATTTTATATTGTGACCAGGAGTTCTAGACTTTAGCTACAGGCTCCAAAGGCTTCTTTTCCTGTTCTTCCGCGTTTGCAGCCTTATTAGCGTGTGCGCTCTTCCCCTCACCATCCCAAATGAAATAGACATAGAAAGCAGGGAATTGCCGCAGAGTACAAGAGTAAAGAAGGAGACAGACATGGCCAGGCTCAAAAAAGTCGAGAGTTCGTAAGCGAAGAGCCAACATGATGGAGCTTACCAAGACCCATATGCCGATTTTCAGGTAATGGCGTTCCGAGGGAATGCTCGGATGGGGAAAGCGTACTGTACAATCGGAACCAATAATCCACCAAGAAGGTGCCGAAAAACACGTAAACGATGAACACTATCATCGGAATGTCTCCGTTTATGTAGGCGCGGTAGATTGTTGTGGCGCAGCTAATTGTCATGTTGATCACACCGAAAATTGGGAGCACGCTGCGAATTTTGATTTCGGGATCGGAATTAGTGATAGGGAGAGGAGCTGATCTCTTTTCCTCAACGATTGCCATTGTTCTCGGCATTGTTTTTAAGGAGAGTGGAGCAGAGAGATGGTTATGAGGGTTTGGCTATGGAACTTGTGTCTGTGTGCCAGCAGGGACAGTGTGCTCGGGGACGAGCCTTTCGTTGCCTTTTAAGAGTGCCAAGGTGAGATTTGTTTCAAGTATCTGGAAATTGCAACGAAACTTAACCCGACTTTCTCAACAGAGAATAGAAACATCTCAGAAACCCGCGACACTCGGTAGTCGAAACTGCCAGGATGCTTCTCGGGACTTTTGAGTTTGACGAGGACCATAGGAGGGCCCACCAAGGGCATTTCGGAGCAAGGGCACCGCACAGATTGATTAAATAAAGTTCGAGGATGTTTCTGCTTTTAAAATATTTTTTTGGAGGGGCATTCAACATTTTAATATTTTTATTAAAATAATTTTATTTTTAAAATTATTAAAATAAAATATTTTTATTTTTTTATTAAAATTTTATTGTTGACCTTAAACATTAAGTGTTAAAAAATTTAATAGAAATGACAAAAATACTCTATTTTAATAATTTGTTATTTTATGGGTAGAGCTAAAAAGTGTGAACTGTATAAATTAATAATAACATTGATTAAATGAGATAAGGGGCTTTGGTGTATAGAGAGGACGTCGCCATTTAAGAAGTAACCGTAAAAACAGTGAAATTCACTATTTGTTTATCCATTTCTATTCAATTGTTAATTGAGTATGCTTTTTGATACCGATTATCAATACATTTCTTATTTTGAGATTAAATGCTTAGAAATAAAAAGAAGAATAAAACTGCTTCAACAAAAATGTTAAAGTGTTGAGTGCTCCTCAAAAATATTTCAAGAATAAAAATGCATCTTTACCTATTAAAATAGGGACAAAAGACACTTATGTCTTGGTATTAAATTAATGACAGATAAGTACTTGATAAATTTAAAAAAAGTCAAAAATATTAATTCAAATAATTATAAATTTAATATTTTTAAATGTAAATAAGTATTTAAATATTAAATATAACTCTTAGATTGTAACAATAATTTTTATTTATAATTATTTAAATTGATATTTATAATTTATGTTTTAAAACATTTTATCAAAAATTTAAATGTCATTAATTCATTCTTTCATAATCTAACTATCATTCTCTCCCAAACAATAAAGGAAGACAGCTAACAGAAGACTCATAGTTGAATGCCACCTCATATTCCTTTGAAACAAGAAGGTTACGAGTTCTATACCTCATGTAATGAAAAAGGTGGTTGCATAGGATGTTTGTATCTGCTCCATTTTAGGGGGGAAGGGGAGAATATAGTTAATAGGGAGAATTATTTCATATTTTATTGGGCCTATAAATATGCTATCTTTTGGGGCTTGCAATGCAATTCTCCCTAGTTAATATTTCATGCTTCTGAATATATTATTAAAATCAATAAAAGATAATCAAATCATTAATATTATTAAAAATAATAGGCAGAAGGGAAAAAATGTCCTAAAACTTTTCTTATACAGGCGCTGTAACATCCTAGGAAAATTTGACCCTAATTAATTAAGTTTAATCATGATTATTGGTGATTTGACATGGTGTATAGTTGGAGAGGTCCAATAAGTGTATTCAAAGGTGATTTCAGCCCTAATTATGCGTTCGAAGTGAAGTCAGACTACTCGAACATTGAAAGAAAGAGAAAACATGAAGGAAATATCTTTATGCCACATGTTGCAATACACAAATGACAAACGAAAGAGAATGACCTCTTTGTGTCATGCATCACGGCTTATGGCCAAATTATATAATCTTTTAGTCATGAATAGATGTGAAATTCAGAAGGGAAAGAAAATAAAAATGAAGAGCAAGCAAGAAGCTTTAATCTCCCTTTCTCTTCCATTTTCTTGAGTTTTTTTATTAGGTTTTAATAGTGGGAGGTTATTGTCAATCCATATAAGTTATGAATTTGAATCTATTAACCTAAATGGAGTTAATGGGAGTTATTTATAGTATTTAAAATAATTATTAATGGTTTTAAGGTTGTTGGTTGGTGAATGCCATAAATATCAAAAAATGGCATTAATGAAGGTTGTTGGAGGAGTTGAAATGTCATTAATAGAGGTTTAATGATTCATTAATGATAATAAAAACTAAAGAGAGTTAATAAACTTAATGGTAGGCATAAATATGAGAAATATGGCATTAGATATTTTAAAAATGGAAATAAGAGTTAAAATATATTTGTAGCAATATTAATTGAGATTGAATTTGACTAATTGTAGATTAATCATCCAAGCACCACTTTTGGCTTAAGAAACAAGTTTGGAAGCTAATTATTAAAGAGTAAACTTTTAACCTCTCAGAGGTTTGAGATAACTAAGGAAATCCTATTTTGAGTAATTGTTTGTTAATTGAATGTTAATTATGAAAATGTGCATATTGGCATGTATGATTTAATTGTGAACATGAGAACATGTCATGAGCCTTGTTGACTGATTGAATTGTAAGTACGCAATGTTTTATTTTGATTTGAAATGTGCAATTAAAGTTAAAGTGATTTTCAAAATTTTGATTATGTACATGTTTTAGGATGAGAAGTATGATGTTATGTGATGTGATAATTATGCAATGATGGAGAAATTGATGATGTAGTAAAGTGAAAAATGTTTGTGAAAACAATATGGTTATCATCTTAAGCTTAATGTGTTAATATTGAATAAATAGAATTGTGAAAATGAGTGAGTGTTGTATATTGCATGATCAATTGGTGAGAGTTTGCCTAAAGAGAAAAGTAGTTAAAATCTATATAGTGTTTTTGACTGCCCTCTGGTGCATGAAAGTATAGCCTTGTCCCATAATTTATCAAGAGATTGTTCCATAATTTGTTGATGGACTAGAACCTAGCTGTCTCTACCAATTTATTGAGGGGGTTAGCTTAGGGTATGTGACATCTAAGAGATTTGAGAATGGGGGAAATTATGGTTCGAGAATGAGTCTTGTGATCTTTAGTTAGGTCATACCTCACAATTGATTAGCTTCAATAGTCTAGTCATACGGACAGAGCCTTGTTTGACATTACAAGCCATAATTTCAGTGAGAAGATATAAGGAGGGTATAAAGTGGTTTGATCATGCTTATGTAATCATTTGACATGTCACATGATCGTTTAAGTTTGTGACAAGTCGTCATAATAATTTGAGTCATTTTCATATGTCTGTGTGTCTTATAGCAATGTACTCTATAACAGAGATTATGCATGTGAAATTGAAATGAATTGTGAGATTATAACTTGTATCATATGCAATTTTATGTTTTTGAGTAATTAATTCACTTTATGTGTATTTATTCAATTGATATATAATTACATAGAGTAAGTGTACCTTGGTTGCTAAGTGACTAGACTCACCCCTCTATTTCAATATTTTTTAGGCTCTTGCTCATGTGTGGAAAGGGAAAAGGCTTTAAAAGGCTTAAGAATCTAGGGTTCCTATTGTAAAACCTCTCATTCTTAATTATTTTATGCAATGGATAAGTATATAGATCAAGCTTATAAATTCTCCCATTTTCACCCATTAAATAATATTTAAATACTTGAAAAGTTTCCTTTAAATTGTCAAGTTGCAAATATTTAGTTATTGAGATCTGATTATGAGTTATTAAATGGTAAAATGAATAAAACTTTGCAACTTGAAGGGCTATTCCTAAAGGGCCTAACGAATTCCTAATTGGAATGCGTTTTGTTTATACTTGAACTATATAGTTGTTTATTATGTTTAGAATGTATTTTAAGCCCTGAGATATTGTTTATGTAATTTGTAAATATTTATAGGTTAAAATAGTAGTACAAGTGTATTAAGATTGATTTAAACATAATATGGATGACTTATTGTAAAATGCAATGCCCAAACCTCCTTTTTTTGCTTTTGGTAGTAAGGGGTTAAGGAGTGAAAATTTGATATGGTGGTATATACATGTATATGGTGTATTGTATAGGTAGTTCTAGGTTCAATAAGTATGGTCTGGGTATTAGGAATAGCTTTTGACACAAGTTTAGGGTTTTGGACACCATTTAATTGTGAAAGTTATGAAAATATATTTGGGTGTACAACTTCATTGTGTGACTTAATTTGGAAGTAAAATCCATGCTATTATAAAACAAAAATCTATGCCATTAGCTAGTTTATGTTGAGAGTTTTTCATAAATACATAGATCATCTCATTCAGATATTAAATGAAGAAATGGGGCACACCAAAAGTTGTTTATTGTGTTGTTTGATATCGTGCAACACATCGTAGTGCTTGACACAAAGAGTGGCAATCCACAGTGCACTGTGTACAAGCTGTGGCACATTACTCTGTTTTTTTTAGATTGTGATGTTTTTCTATTTTACCCTATTGCATTCTTCTAAGGTATCTCATGCTTTTGAAATATTATTTTACTTTTATTAAAAGTTTAATGAGTGATCTTGATTTACTTTAAAATATGAAAAACTTGAGATCCCATTATTTCAAATTACAAACATGATAATCACTTAAGGGTTAATTCCTTGATTACCACGAATTTTGGAGTTAATCATGATATGATTAGGAACATATTTCAGGCGTCCGGTATTCTAAACTTTGTTTGGAGCAATGTCACCTAAAAACTTTAAAAAATGAAGCAATTTTGCCTTGTTGTTGTGTCACCATTTTACAATAATTTCTTTTGACTTTATTAGCCATATGATGCTCTATTCTCTCTAACTCAAGGTTTCTCCATATGGTAGGTGTTTTCTCTTTCTCCTTCTCTCCTCCTCTTTCATCCTCCTTCCCCATCGCTCTTCCCCTACTTTCTAGTTCAACATCAATAAGTGTGTGTGCATGTAAATGTTCATCATAGTGCTGCCTACAATCTCAATTTAATATACCAAAATCCTCTTCTTCCTCCTTCATTCTTTCCATATGTCACTGCTAAGTCTACAAGGAGTCGATCTGTTGCCACTAAGGGGTTCAATTTATGAGCTCTTCCCTTCTTTATTCATGCCAACAACGTCTTTCTGATATTTCATTAGTATTGTTTGGGTAAGTGAAATGTCAAAAAATTTTGAGGCTTCACACTTTGAAATCTTTCCCCATACCCAAGCATTCAGAGATGCAT